GTGTCTGCCCCCGCCTGCCTTCCCGGAGGGCCGGCTGACGAGCCGCCCGGCAGAGTCCCTGCGCTCGCTCGCCTTGCTTGTCGGTACGGTCAAGTTGTTGTAAAAAAGCAAAACCACCGGAAGGTGACGGCTTCGGGTGCCTGCGGCTCTCCTCGTTCCTGCCAGCTTATTCCTGTCTGCTCTGCACAGCCTCCCTGCTGCTGCATCTCCCTGTCGTGCCCCCGTGCCGCCCTTGGCCCCTTCCCGGGGACCCCTGAAGCTGCAGAGGTGGTGATGGAGGCGCGGGACCTTCCTGCGCGGGTCCCCCCGGCGTCCCCGGTGGTTTCACCGTGCACATGGCGAGGAAACCCAGGGGCTTTCCTCCTCCTCAGCTGTGGTTTCGTGCCCCGAGGGAAGGGGTTGCCAGCCGCCCACGAAGCTATCACCTTTAAATCTTTTAACCAGACCCTAATGGCCAGGGGCCTGTCCTGGTGAATAATTCACCCTGCTGTCAGTGAGAGTTTCACTAATTTTGTTAAATTTTGTAATTAGTTTGACTAATTTTGTTTCCACAGGAACTCGTGTGGTCTCGCTGTTCCACGGAGCCTCGGGCGGATCAATAAGTTCTTTTTTTTTTTTTTTTTCCCCCTTTGCATGTTAAGTGATGGCCCTTAAACCCGGACAGCAGGAGAGCAGCAGCCGGAGGAGCTGGTGGCTGGGCGGCACCTCGGTCCTGCGTTGTCCCTGCCTGTCCCTGCTGGGTTGCCTGGCTTTGTGGGATGCCCAGGGCCAGATCCTGGAGGGATGCTCTGCACCACCAGCCTGGGGCAGGGTCAGCCCGGTCTAATCCCAGTCCATTCCCAGTATGTTCCTGCTATGCAAAGAGCTAGAGGGGAAGGGGCTGCCTCTGCTCAGGCTCTTTCTCCGTTTTTCCCCTCCTGTCCTTTAATTTCTTTGACCCTTGAACTAAAACAGCAAATTAGCATTTCTGTTAATCAGCCGCGCTAATTAGCCGGAGCGGGGCTGGCCCTGCCCCCAGCCTGGGTTTGCTTTTGCCCGCTCCCCATTAGGTGCTCGCTGACCAAATCAAACCCAAAAATTGCCCGGAGGTGACTCCGCACACCCTGACCTGGGTCCGGCTCCGGGGAGAGCCGCACACCTTTGTCTCCGCAGGAATTTTTATTTTCTTTCACTCCCTGCTGGTGCCTTTGTGCCGAGCCGGGAGCACCGAGGGAGAAGGGATAAGCGGTTAAGGATGGGCTTGTGTGACATATGGCGCGAGGGCTTTGCATGACGGCTGCGGCCGGCGCCGGGGGGGGACACGAGCGGGCACGGGGGGCCTGGGCTTCCCTCCTGCGAGGCTCGGGATGGACTGGTAAACTGAGGCAGGGAGTTGGGCGACGGGCGCAGGGCTGTCCCGCGGGACGGTGCGCCTTTGCAGCGCTGGCTCCTCGTAGCCGTTTCAGACAAGCTCTAAGCTGATTTTTTTTTTTCAGCTGGGACGTGTGTGTTTTGATGTCGGCGGTGAAAGCCGGAGGGGGAAAGGTCGCTGATGTTCAGCTGCCCCGCGGAATAATCTTATATCGGCCTCTCTGCTTTAGGCAACCTCTTACATCTAATTTATTACACATTGATAGGAGATAGAGTTGTACAGAGATGCAGTTGAACCATACAAAGGGATGCTGGGTTACTTTAATCGCTCACACTTGCTTGACCTATTTTTTTTTTTTTTAATCCCTTCCTGGAAACCTTATTTCATGTTTGAATTCCCTCAACTATTTTAGGAATGTCATCCTACCAAGCTCAAATTACCTTCAATGAAACCAGTGCAAGGCAGCCTCGCAAGGCAGGCGACTTTTTGATTAAGATCTAGTGCTGCCTCATTAATATAGGCTTAGTTTGGGGTGGGGGGAGAGCGGGGGCTGTAGTTCTGGCATGGCAAATGTGTGAAAGCCGGGGATTAGCAGGGTGCAATGCCAAAGGGCAGGGGGGTGGCTCTGCCCTCGCTCGGCAGAGAGGGCTGGGGGCATCCTGGCATGGCCGGCAGTGCCGGGACCCCCGGGGCTGGGCAGCCCCCTTGCAGCCCTGCGGATCCCGCTGTGTCCCGGCACCGGCGGAGGGAAGGGGGGGGCTTCGGGGGCTGCCCCGGGGGGGGG